CTGTGGGCCTACTGCGTGCAAGCCATCGTCGTGCGGATAGAATGCTGATCCACTGAACGAGATACGCTTCCTGCCCTCCACAGGCTGTCTCAGTTGGGCCATCGTTCACTAAGCTTCACAGCGTCCCTTAGATGCCAGGCACGGAGGGTCACGACGGTGAACAACTCGGGTATGGCCACCTGCGCCTTCATGAAGTGTCAGTGTGGTGGGAGAAACAAGGATAGCAACGTCCCGCAGATATTACACGGAGGAGGCACAAATTAATTTCGGGGAGGAGGGTCAGGGGAAAGCTTCCTTGGGGAAGAGACATCTATGCTGAAACCCGAAAGTTGGGTTTGCCAGAGAAAGCGTGAAGAGAGCTCACCGTGAGTTTTCAGGGGAAGCAAATGGAGGAGAAAAAAAAAATGCAGAAGAGTACAAACAAGCATGAGGCACACATATGTTCTCTGCACATTAAAATGCCTTTGAAGCCTCTTGGCCACCGTCACCTCTGCTGGAAAACATCTCCCTCTTGTCCGTTCTGGCGAATTCCTTCTGTGACGGGCTGACTGCGTCCCCAAAATTCATACGCTGACTCCCTAACTCCCCCCACCACCCCCTCACCCCAGTACCTCAGGCTGTAACTGTGTTTGGAGATCAGGCCTTGAAAGAGGTTTTAGAATCCAATCCAATGGAAACCCTAATCCAATCTGACTGACGTCCTTTAAGAGGAGGACCTGCAGGGACGCTCACGCACAGAGGCCAGGCCTGCGAGGACCCCGCAGGAAGACGGGCCGAGAAGAGCCGAGAGCGCAGCCTCCGAAACCACGCCCGCCGGCACCGTGATCTCGGGCTGCTCCCTTCCAGGACTGGGAGGAAAATAAAGGTTGTTTCAAGCCACTCAGTCTGTGGTATTTGTCATGGCGGCCCTAGCAAACGAATCCACCTTCCGTCCTTCCCAGGCTGACGCCTTCCTGGTCACCCACACACTCCCGCCCCAGGGTGAACGCTCTTCCCAACACTTGGCTCGCGCGGTGCAGCCGCGAACGCTCGGTGGCCACCGCGGGATGCCCGGCCCGTCTTCAGGGCTGAGGAGAACAGCCAGGCGGTTTAGTGCTTCACGTGCATCCACTCACGAGCTCCTCCTGCAAGAACCCGGCGAAGCAGGCGCGGCGGCGGGGCCCGTTCTACAAAAGCGGAACCGAGGCGCCCAGCGTTCCCACGGTAATGGCCCTGAGCTGGGCGACGAGCTCTGCGGTCTCAGGCACCACGCTCAGCCGCCGGGCGCTACAGGGAACCAGGAACCGAGCGCGGGGAGCCCGGCACCGGGCCAGGTGGGGACACGAGTGGGGTCTCCAGGCCGAGGCGGCTGCGGCGGGAGAAGGCCCCGCTCCAGGAGCACGGCCGGGGCTTTTGTGACCCTGAGCCAGAGCCCGGCGCCGCGGCTGGTGAGCTCCCGCAGGACCCGGCAGCTCTCCGCAGACCCTCGCGGGGCCCCGCGCTGCGGAGGCGACGGCGGGTCCATGCCCTGCCCGGCTCTCGGGCGCCCGGCCGCCCCCACCGCGCGGGACCCGCTCGCCCTCGCGAGGCCGGCCTCCGAGCCCGGCGGCCCCCTTACCCTCGGAGGCCGCTCCGCGCCCCGCCTCCGCCTCTTCACCTCCCGCACCGCCCTCAGCGCCGCTCGCTGGGCTCCGGGGGACGCGGAACCATCGCGACACCGCCCCCTCGGCCGGCCGGACCCGCCCTCCGGCTTCCGCCGGCCTCACTTCCGCCGAGCTCTGCGGCCGCGGCGCGCAGGCGCGCGGGGCGCCTGGGAGACGAATTCTGCGCGGGGAACCTCAGGCGCGCGGTGGCGGCGGCGCTGGGCTGGCGGCGGCGGCGGCGGCGGCTCCACGTGCTCCCCGCGGCCAGTGGAGATAGTTGGCGGACGCCCGCCGAGAGGTGAGGCGCTGGGGCTCAGGGGTCCGACCTGGGAGGCGGGCGCGGAGAAAGAGGGGAGGGGGCAGTATGGCCGATGCCTGCATATCCACCCTCCGAGTCCCACCTTTGGTTCACGCGCGTGGAAGGAGGAAATCTCTTCAGATCTTATTGGTGCTCTGGGACAGTGGAAGGAGTCCTGGATTTAGGATGCCCAGTTATTTCCGGTGTTAAAACGGAAAGGTTTATGTGCCGGGAACCCTCTCGGTCCTGGGCAAAGCAGGACGGTTGGTTACCGCTGGCCTGGGGTTCAGGCTTGCCGCAGGTTGGGGACAAGGCTCTTGCCTTCTCCGAGTCTTGGGGAGCTCGGTCCCTACGGAGGAGGCCTTGGGACATAGTGGTTGAGAGCGCGGGACTTACCCGCCGGGCTAGAATACCTGCGTGTGAATCCAGGTCTACCACTAACTGGATGCGTGACCGGCTGCAAGTGTCTTAACCCCTATGCCTCACTTTTCTCGTCTGTCCAAAGGAAACTGTGTAGAACCTAACTCAGAGGACTGTGGTGAGGATTACATGAGCACAAACGTGTTAACCACTCATGATGGCTTGGCATGTGGTAGGTGCTCAATAAACGGCAGGATTCTCTGCAGCCCCTACCTCTGAGCAAACAGGCAGGGGAACGAGGTGGGGTGTATTTGCAAGGCTCACTTTCCTGCAGGGGGTGCCCACCTAGGACCTGTTCACACAGCACCCGCAGCCCCCTGGCATCTAGCATAGAGCCTGACGAGGTAGACTTCCACAGATAGTTATCACAGCAGTGAAGGGATGCTGTTTAAAACAGTGCTGGTGATACAGTGTGTGGGGAGGGGGTGAGGTTTGGTAAAACTTCTCTCAGCTTCAGTTTGCTCATCTGTTAAGTGGAGACAAGTGTGTACCTACCTCCTAGGGTTTTTGCAAAGAGCAAGGGAGAGCTCCTGCATGAAAGCACATCTGCAGCCTCATCACCCCCACATTCTGGGGTTTAGACAGAATGTACTCGTCTGTCCTTGCCTTGCATCATACCCATGGTTTCTTGGAATTCTAGCCCCGGAAGGGGCTCAGGGCTGGTCTGGTTGGCCTGATCCCTTGTTTCAGAGATGCGAGAACTTGAAGTTCAGAGGGGATGGTGACTAGCTTGAGGTCAAAGTGCCCATTGATGGCTGCTGAGGTTTCCAGCCTGGCCTGTCAAGTGGGCTGTTGTGGTGGTGGTGGTGGTGGTGGTGGGGATGGGGATGGGATTTAGTTCTGTGTGTATATGTGTGTGAGAGAATGGTTTAAGATTAGTGAATGTAGTTTTTGTAAAAAATAAACAATATAAAAATGTAGATGGAGGAAGCTAAAAAATTGCTCCAAATCCCAATCTCAGAACTAATCCTGAGGTCATGTTACCAGGGAACAAGGTGGTAGAGTAGCACCCATGGGGTGGGGAGCCAGAGGAGACTGGAGTGAATTTATGAAGATGGACAGATGAATTGAGGTCATATATAAAGAAGCATGGGTTTAGGAGGTTACTGGGTATAATAGCATTGTGAGCAAATTGATAGGTCACGGGAAATTCTAGCATTGGGTAAGGCTGAATCTTTCACATCTGGTATGTTATTTAACTTGCTGCACAATGCTCTAAGATAGATATCAGGCCCGTTTTATAGATAAATAGATTCAAGTTAGGGTGGGTACCCTGAGGTCACTTAGTTTTTAATCGGCAGATGTAGGCTCCAGCTCAGATCCTCTGGCCCTGAGTCCAGTCTCAGTTCAACAGAACGTGGCTACCATCTTGAGAAGCGGAGACGAAGTTCCTCACAAGTTCCCAGCCTTTTACTGATGCTGTCCGCTGCCCCGCAACTCAGCATCACTTCCCAGCACCTGACATCCTCCGCTGTGACGCGGGTGGTCTTCCTCTGTGTGAGCTGGCCTTAGAATTAAGACGTAGGGCCCTCAGATTTTAAAAGGCAAGGTCATTTTTAGAGCCTTTGAGGGATGAGGGTCTCAAGGTCCCAGATGCCGAGTAGTGGCCAAGGACATGACAAGTCAAGATGCAGAGGCAGGGTGGGCGCTCGGGCTTGTCACCTGGCCCATCAGGCTGCCCCTGCTGCGTCGTGTGCCTCCAGGCAGATCACTTAACCTCGCAGAGCCTTGGTTTTCTCACAGAGGGAGGTGGTGTGATCATACCTGTCTGGAAGTGTTGGTGCAGTTGTGATGGTAACTGTGAAATCACTTCGTGGAGAGCTAATGGTGGTGTTCTAGAAGGATATGTCTAGCATCGTTTTCTCAGGTTACGACACGTGGTGAGAGCTCAGTAAATTGACCAACAGATGAATAGACAGCAGCTCACACAGGGAACCTGGTTTCCGAGTGCACACCTGACATGCAGTAACGTCTGCCAAACTGAATTACTACAGTGACTTCCCTGGAGCGAGAACTCGTGTGTGCTCTCAGCCAGTCCACAAACTGCTTTCTGCTTGCCTTTCTCTTTCACATGCCCACATCCCTAGAAGGAAGAGCACACAGAATTTCTGTGGCTGGATTGGGACCTGGCCTCGGGCAGAGCGAGTGGGGAGCCAGGGGAGGAAAAGGGAACTCTTACTTAGGTTCAACCCCATAAAAAAAATGCCGTCTTTTTATACTTGGGGCTAAATGTTGAAATGTATGACATCTGAGCCCATCAGACGGTTTCCGAAAAGTCTTTAAACCACATGTTTTCAGCTTTCCTAATTTTCAAAGGAGAAATGCTGCAAGTTTACCAAAAACATCATTTGAACATTTATTTACATTTCTTCCACATTCGTTTACTTTTGTGAAATTTGGATAAGTTTAATTTTTTGTTTTAGACAATGCTTGCTGTCTTCAATAAGAGGGACTGGATGTTCACATGGTGTCTTTTGTAAGTTGTTGCTTTACACTTCTGAAGTCGTTACACTTGCACTGAGACGGGACACCTGTCTGCTGTGCAGTTAGGATGGTTTTCAGCTTGCTAAGTTCTTTGCAGGGTCGTCGTTCCCACCGCCCTCCCCCTCTAACACACACACACAGACGTTTCCTGCATAAATGACAGGTGTTTTCCCACAGGGCTCGGTCAGGTGTGAGGCCTGATCAAGGTGACCCTGAAGAAGGGGCGAGGTGAGCTGCTTACAAGCCCTGTCTGTCACGTTAGCAAGCAGGCGGCCACATTGTCCCCATTTCATAGCAAGAGTAAAAATGCAGCGAAGGCTCAAGATCCCGAGGAAGGCATTAAGAGATAAAGCTACTCATTCTGCCTGTAAAAACAAAACAAAACAAAACCAGATTTCTAAATGTGAACATTTGCCATAAAAGACTGAATGAAAACTCTTGGAAAGGTATTTTTTCGATGGACATGTGTTCAAATTCTAATCCTCTCCTGAATTGATGTTTACTCTGTGTGTGGCTAATCCCCAGAGGGATGACATGATTGCACAGATATTCCAGCACCTTTTTTGTCAACATCACAGGCTTCTTTCAGTCGATACGTTTTGCTTCCATCTGTCTTTCCCAGACCTTTAATTCCTGACCTTCCATGACAGACTAAGTCTCCCAGTTGTATCTCAGAGTTTGCCAAAACCATCTCCTCTCCCCCTCAATCAATCAAGAAACAATATAGACCTCAACAAGGAAGGTCAGAAAGCCCTAGCTTAACTCTGAGGAGGGGCGGGGGGGGGTCGTCGTTGAATCTCATTATAAAAGGATTTACTCATTTTTCAGCATATAGTTTGGCTTACCGCAGCTGCTTCTATCTTGTGCATATGTTGGCCATCTATTTCTTGGTGAATAGTTAGTGGTTTACTCTTCTTCTTAGACCAAAGCGCCCCTACAGACTATTTATGTGATAATGTGGCATTGGCCCTTGTTCCAGCCTTTGTTCTTCCCTGGGAAGGCAGGGTGGCCGCTGTCGTCCTCGCCTGTCATTAATTGAGCATCCATCTGCCAAGTGCAGAAGCTAAGCTGGGGGGGGGGGCGCAGAGAGAGGGGGGGAGCTGGGTCATAGTCCCCGTGAGGCCGGCTTCCCAGGACATAGAAGAAGATGCTCTTGAATGCTGCACATCCCAGAACAGTCCTGTTTGCTTTCCTCTGGATTCAGCGCGAGGCTGTTGCTGACCACAGGCCCCTCCCCCCCGTCCCCCCCCACCGCTAACCTATCGTGATGGTGAGCAGAGGAGGGGCCCCGGCCCGGGGCCTGGGTTTGGTCATCGCGTATCAGGCAAGCTGATGCTTGGCAGTGCCCCGCAGAGCAAGGCCCCACGGGAGATGGGCTGGGCCTTGGGGAACCCTGGAGTGGCAGGCAGGACGTCCATCTCCATTCCCGGCTGAGTGGATGCGAGCAGCCCTGGTCCTCGCTCAGGGGTGACCCTCCAGCCGTGACGGGAACACGGCAGTGCAGGAGAGTGATTTCACGCGTGAGAATTCTCTGAACCAGAGGCTCTCACTTGTGCTGGAGCATTTCTGGATGAAGTCCTCCCCTGAAGCAAACTGCATCAGCTTCCTTGATTCTTTCCTTCATTTTCATCATGAGGAAGAAAGCGCTGGATTAAACAATCAGGAATTTGCTGTGAAACATTTCTAATGTAAATCAACAATACCCTAAGAATCTAGTGATTAAAAAATTATATAAACTGGAAAGTTACTGTCACACTTTTAGATGAATTTGTGTTTTGTTGAGCACAGTAGCCGCTCCGTGAATTTGTAAATGGTGGTTACGTAGTTGTGCACAAGTACGTCATGTCACCTTGGTGCTGGGGATACAGGGTCTGTGAACGCCCTCCAGTAATTCAGCACCCAGGACTTGGGACAGCTGCCTGTGGTTCCATTTCTTTATTGATCCGACAAGAAGCCACAGGAAGGAGGCCCCTCTTCTATGCCCTGCCCACTAAGACTGAGAGAGCGCACCTGCATATTTGAACACCTGCAGACACATAGGAATACCTGTGTGAATGGTTTTGTGTTTATGGGCCTCATCCGCTTTCTAAACCTCCCTTAACTCCCCACTCGTCACACTCTTACTGTATTATGAGGACTTGAAGTAATTTGCAGTATACACCTAAGGGGTGGGGGTTGGAAGAAAGGGAAAGTTATTAGAAAAGGTAAGCCGTTTCACTTAATGCCCCCAGACGCTTCATCTCTGGAGCCAGCCTGCCGTGTTTAAATCCTGGTTCTGCTACTGTGTGGCCTTGGGCAAGTTACTTAATCTCTCTGTGCTTCCATAGCTCATAAATTGTGAACAATAGCCTTTCCCTCATAGGGTTGCTGTGAGGATTAAATAAGTTAATGTGCATATGTGTAAAGCTTTTAGAGGGCCCGGCACATGGTAAGCACGCACTCAACAAATGTCAGCCATTAGTAGTATTGTTAATTATAATTTTGCTTACATGGTGATAGAGTTGTATGTAGATTGCTAATCAACTTTGATTCTGTTGTTTGTGGTTATTTTCATGGGAAATTATGGTTGAAAAGTTAGCTGTATGATCATTTATTGGGAATGAAAGTTTCAGACTACAATGATAATTATCTTTTTTCCTTTATTTAAAAATTTTTTTTAGGACAAGACTTAAAACCTATCTTGGATAGAGAATATTTTACCATTTAGCTAAAAATGGTATTTTTTACATGCAATGCATGTGGTGAGTCAGTGAAGAAAATGCAAGTGGAAAAGCATGTGTCTGTTTGCAGAAACTGTGAATGCCTTTCGTGCATTGACTGCGGTAAAGATTTCTGGTAAGTTCCCAATAATTCATGAAGATCCAAAGTGAAGATCCAGACCAGCTTCAGTGAGGCTGCAGTGTTATTAACTGCAGTCACCATGTTGTCATTACATCCCGTGACAGTTTCATTATGTTTTTATTGTTTATTGAGGTATATAGCATTATATCAGTGCTGCTACCAAAATTTTACACCAGCTTTTAACTTATTCTATAATTAATTATTGATTGCCTATTACATTACCAGGAAATCATACAGATTTTATAACTTAAGATAAAGCCACCAGATTGCAGAGAATTTTTTTAATTCAGTGTATATTCACTTAGGATTAAACAAAAATGCTGCCTATCAATTTGGTTTGAAGCATTTGTACATAAAAATGGGTGGAAAGTTTGGTAGTGGGTTTTATACTGAACAGTTTAGAGGAAGAAAAATGTTATGACCAGGAAGTTATAAGCATAGTAAGTGAAATAGATAGGGGTGCTCATGCAGTGGGCAGATGTGGGGGTGCTCGTGCAGTGGGCAGGTGCGGGGTGCTCGTGCAGTGGGCAGGTGCGGGGTACTCGTGCAGTGGGCAGGTGTAAAATAAAGCAGTGTGGACTGTGGGAGGTAGGCACCGCATGCTAACATTAGACAGAGCCTCCAATCTGAGAATCAGTCTAATGGTGGAACCTTTTATCACTTCAAAGGGGTGACGACTATAAAAACCATGTGAAATGCATCAGTGAAGATCAGAAGTATGGGGGCAAAGGTTATGAAGGTAAAGCCCACAAAGGCGATGTGAAACAGCAGGCGTGGATCCAGGTAAGGTCTTTCTGACTCACCTTGTAGCTTCTGCTGACGTCTTCCACTTCTTTTGGAAGCCTAAGGAACTAAGAATAAGTGCATCATTCACACAGACAAGACCCAGAAACATCATGTCTTAGGATAGACTGAGGTTGAGCAACTAAAACTTGAAAAAGAGTTATTTCTCTGTTAATATAACTGCAGTGCATTTTGTCTTTAATCCATATGCTTTGCAGATTTCTTGCAAAAATATTTTAGAATTCTCACTAGCTTTCTCTTGGCTATGAAGCTTTCTTGTCTGTATTTGTTTAGTAATAATACAGCTTTTATAATTCAAACCATGTTAATCTGTTGTATGTTAGTCATCAGAATCAGGCAAAATAAAGACATTTTCATAAATACAAGGAATTTTCTACTTAAATAAAATGAAAACATGCATAATAAAACCAGCAGAGCAATGAAATCCCTCATTCACTGAGAAGTATAACTGCCAGAATGTTGCTCACCATTTATAAAATAGATAGCAGGAGGAAGGATTCAGAAAGGACGGCAGGAGAATGAAAAGACAAATGTCATCTGTGTGGAAACGCTGTGTTTTCCTAAAAACCAAATAGATAACAGTTACTTCCTCCACTGATAGAGCTTAAATGTGAATTTCCCGATATTGGCCAGCTTACTGAGTTACAAATTCCTGGGAGGGAAAGTCTTCTGTTCACAAAGGGCTGACCAGGTTTGCCCAGTGCAGACTGAGAAGCCAGTGAAAGCCCTTGACTAAGCTATTTAGGCTGGCAGCCATCAAGCCTTGCTTTTGGACACTATCTGTTATCCCCCCAAGAAACACGACATTCCTAGGCCCCTGAACTTGAGGAACCTGTGTGCGTGAGCTCCATCTCCATTGTCATCACATCGTGAACTAAATCTCTAAAGCGGGTCAGCCAACTATGGCCCGGGAGTCCACCACCTCTTTGTAAATAAAGTTTTATTGGAACATGGCCATGCCCATGTTTACTTCCTGTCTGTGGCTACAGTAGCCCTACAAGCATGGCGTTGAGTAGTTAGGACAGAAACTGGATGGTCTGCAGAGCCTCAAATCTCTATGATTGGGCCCTTTACAGAGCCCAATGTGTACATTTCGCTAACTTTAATAATTACCTTCTTGGGCCGGCTGAGTGGCTCAGTTGGTTAAGAGCTCGCTCAAGAGTTTGAGCTCTGAGCAACAGCAGTTCAAGTCCAGCCCGAGCTGAGCAGCCGCTGAGCTTCCAACAGGTGGCAGGATGGCTCAGCTAAAAAATAAATAAATAAATAAATAAATAAATAATAATTACCTTCTTCCTCTACCTTCACTGTGATTGCTGTAAGCGTTTTCTCTAGGACACTAATTTTCATCTCTGTTCTGTTCTTGCTAGTTCCGATTTGTTTATTAGTAGATCTTAATGCTTTTTTGTCTTGGTCCTCAATTTATTTCCTAGTCCCTGTAGTATCCATTTTTGTCTGATTCTTTTGATCACTTTTGGTTTGTTCATATTTTTTTCCAGTTTTCAAAAATTGTGGTAAATTATACATAATGTAAAATTTACCATTTTAACCATTAAGTCTCCAATGAAGTAGATGCACCATTGGTTGAAAAAACTGTCCTTTCCCAATTGAATGATATTGGCATTCTTGTCAAAAATCATGTGACCGTATGTGTGAAGGTTTATTTCTGAGCGCTCTATACCACTGGTCTATATGTCTGTCTTTATGCTGGTTCCATACGGTTTTGATTACTCTAGCTTCATAGTAAGCTTTGAAATCAACATGTGAGACCTTTTGTTCTTCTTTTTAAAGATTGTTTTTCTTAAGATCGTTTTGGTTGTTTGGTGTGTCTTCACAGTCCATGTGAATATTAGGATAGAGTCTTCTATTTCTTTTCTTTTTTTGAGTCTTCTATTTCTGCAGAACAAGAAAAGCCAGCTGGATGTTGATAGGGATTGCGTTTGAATCTGTAGATCGCCTTGTGTCGTATGACATCTTAATAATAAGCCTTCCAATCCATGAACACTTCCATTTGTATCTTTAATTTCTTTCAGTGTTTTTGTGGTTTTAGCTAGATAAGTCTTTCATAAACTCCTTGGTTAAGTTTATGTCTAAGTAGTTTATTCTTTTTGATGCTATTGTAAATGGAATTGTTTTCTTAATTTTCTTTTCAGATTGTTAATTTGTAGAAATGCAACTTGATTTTTGAGTGTCAATTGTTTGTTCTGCAACTCTGCCGAATTTATTGGCTCTAAAGGTTCTTTTTGTGGAATCTTAGGGTTTTCTACATATACGACCATTTTGGCTGTGAACAGAGATAATTTACTTCTTTCTTTGTAATTTGGATGCCTTTTATTTCTTTTCTTGCCTAATTGCTCTGGCCAGGCCTTCCAGTACTATGTGGAATTTGTGAGCATGGACATTAATACAGACTGGACTTGAAATGTGAACCCTGTAGCCATGGTTACATGAAACTCATGTCAGTTGTTTATTGTTTTTGTTTTATCTTCCTTTTTTGTAGAAAGTTAATGAATTAATAAAAAGACCCAATGTCAGCCCCAAAGTGAGGGATCTTTTAGAGCAAATTAGTGGTTTTGACAACATTCCCAGGAAAAAGGCGAAATTTCAGGTATGTATTTGATATGACTTCCCTGACTGAGGGGAGGTGGGCCCATCAGTGACCACTTGTGTGTACCTGTCACATGGGATAAGTGGCTTTTTTTGTTTTTTTTTTCTTTTTGTTCCTTATAGAATTGGATGAAGAACAGTTTAAAGGTTTATAATGAATCTGTTCTGGAGCAGGTGTGGAATATCTTTTCCGAAGCTTCCAGCAGCGTAAGTCAGATCTAATTGTAGATTTGTAGTGTGGCAAAATGAATTAGTGATAATGCAATAGGAATATCCTATTTTTGGAGGTCAATCAGCCTTCTTTTTCAGAGAGCCTCTTTGGCGTTCATTTATGGGAAGGAATAAACTGAATGTACTGCAGAGAGGCGTTCCTTATTGTGCCAAGACAGGTATTTAATCGCCATGTTTGATATTGGTACCAACTCACAGGGAATGACTTGCTTAGAAATCAGGCTGCGGGGCGTATTGGAGAGCACGGGAGCTTTGGGTGTCTGGCAGACCTGGATTGAATCCCTGCCGTGCTCTCTGCCAAATGTCTGACCTTGGGCATGTTGTTTAACCTCTCCGAGCCTCAGTTTCCTTTTCTTTAAAAAGTGGCTCATCATAGTCATTCATTTATTCAGTACCTAATGAGTGCCTGATCTGTGCTGAGCCATGAGCAAGAAATAAAAGATAACTTCAGGCCGTGAGGGTGCTGTGATGGGAACTAAACAGGGTGAGGACACAGAGGGCAACCGGGTGCTCCTTCAGGTGGGAGGAGGGGCCACAAGGCCTTTACATGTTGTACATGTAAAGCTGAGGCTATGAAAGCTCCCACCTCATGCCCGGTGTCTAGTGGGCACTCGGTAAGCGATGTCTCCTTCCTGCCGGTGGAGGGAGAGGTCCTTCCCCTGGAGTAACTCAGTCAGCTGCCTGTCAGTCACAGTGGTTTGATGTGAGAGCCCGGATGTGGAATACACACGCAGGCAGAGAGTCACTGTTGGTGACATTGTTAATTTATTTTTTTCCATTAGTTTAGTGGCACTCTCATTCCATTTAGAGCTTGCTCCCCTTTGGAGGCTAACATCATTAGTAGTTTCTAACAAATCCACTGGGTCTGACTGGTTTTTTATTCTGGTCACATTGTCAGTCATGTGCTTTAAATAGAGAGACGAGTTTGGGCAGCAGATTGAGACAAAGATGAAACTTTATCTTGGCAGTACACCTAACATTTGTCTCAGAATACACTGGGCCTTTGAAACCATATAACCAACCATTTAATTGGTGTTTATGTGGCACTTATTTTTTAAAGGCTAGTTTCGTTACCTTAACTAAGAATCAGAGATTTGAAATGACTTAGTTCAACTGCAGAGTTAGAAAAAAATTCTTTCCGGGGCCGACCAAGTGGCTCAGTTGGTTAAGAGCTTGCTCAAGAGTGTGAGCTCTGAGCAACAGGGTTGCCGGTTCGATTCCTGGCCCGAGCTGAGCTGCCAACAGGTGGCAGGATGGCTCAGCTTTTTTAAAAAAAAAAAGTTCTTTCCGATTTCCCTTTTAAGAATCTATGAACATATTAAGAAATAACATAATTGGTAAACAGCTTGTGGTAAACCCTGAGCTCTTGAAAATGCAGCTTGTTATTGCTGTGCCGTTGTCCCATGCACTTCACATCCCAGAGTGTATGGTGCACAACGGGGTCGTGAGCCCCGTTCACTCATGCCTCCCTTTCCTATGCTCCAGGCATTAAGTTGGTGGCTTCCTCTGCTGTGATGCTTTCTGTACCCCGCACCTATCGCACCTGGTCATGCGGATGCCACGTGCTACCCTCACAGCCGTATTCTAGCGGGGGAGACAGCTGCGTATATGGGTTTATGCCATAATGTCAGGTCTTGATCAGCACTAGGAAGAAAAAGAAGGCGGGGGGTGGGGGGGGTGGGCAGAGAGTAAAGGAGGGCGCTCTGTGAGGAGCACCTGGGATGAAGTAAAAAGAAGGTGGGGGGTGGGTTTGTCCACTCATCGAGGGACTGCTGTGTGCGGTGAATGTGTCTTCTGACGCCCCACTGCCTTGCCCGCTGTTGGTTTGGATGTAGAGGCAAAGCACCAGCTAGACACTTGGTCCGAATTGGGTGGAAGGCAGGTCAAGATGGTTATAATGATACCTGACTATACATATGAGCAAGATTGTAGGATAGATGTGAAGTCTCTCTGCGCCTTCTGCCTCCTGAGTCCGTTTCTGAATTCCCTCTCTGCCTCCCCACCCCCATGGGTCCGGACTACTTGATTTCTCTGAACTGCTGCTGAGAAAACGGCAACGATTTAGTTTAACGTTCGTTTCCTAAATGCTACTTTTTCGGGCGGAGGTTGAGCACTGAGGTCAGAGTGAGGCATGACCTTGTCCTTGAGTTACAGCCGGCCCTTCTTTGTTTGGTCCAACTTGGGGGGCAGTAGCTCCCCTCTTGGCGCCTAGTCTCCCAAAGGGTTAGATTGGAGGTGACACGGTACGTTGACTGGCTGGTAACTTACAGAGATGGACCTTGTGCCAGGTCCCTGGAGCTGCTGCCACCCACCCTTCCGCTTCCCCTCCGATGTGCCAGGGCGCACGAGGCAGTCAGGCAGATGCCCTGCTCTGCTCCACCTCTTGAGCCAGGGGCTGGCATAGAGATCCCAGCATGGTTCGAGTCAGGGTGCAGCAGGCGGCGGTTCCAGCTATGCTGAAGTCGCTTGTGGAAGTAGGACCCCTGCGCTGATTTGAGTAAGGTCCTGCAGTAAAGGGGAGGTTCGTCTTACCAGCGCATGTGGTTATTTAGAGTTCTGGGATTCCCTACCGCTATCCAGCTGTCCCCGTGCCTCCAACGGCACCCGTCTGATCTGAATGACGATTAGACTGTGCCTCTGTCCAGTACTTAGTGCTTGTCATCCATCGGGCTGGCTTACAGAGCATCCCCTGCACCAAGCTCGTGACATTTGTGTTCTCAGCTTGTTTGTACATAGCTGTGTAAGGTTAGTATTCCTGCCTGCCATTTTACAGATGAGGAACTGGGTTTGGAGCAGATAAATAACTTGCCCTGAATCAGCTGGCTGCTAACTGACGAGCTGGAACTTAAACCCGGGTCTGCAGAGGCGTAAACCTTGCGTTTCTTCCACACCTAAGTGCTCGCCTTTCACTGAAAAGAGAGGTGACCAGTGAGCCAAAACGAAAGGTCTGGCTTAAGCGATTTAAGGACTTCAGGTTTCCAGTGGAACAAAAGTGTCTGTTAAATGCAGAGAGGGGTGGGAGTTCTCCCCATTTTGTGTATTTACTGCCACATTTTAACAGTTGGGGGCGTTCACAGCTGAAGTGGTAAGTAATTAAGACATTCTTCTGTGAATAAACAATGTTCAGTAGATACACGCAGTGATGTGAATTAGTGAGTCTGTAATGAGGACTTAAGTGTTTCTTGGTTTCACTTAATAATAAGGAACCAGCCAGTAAGGGGCAAGGTCAGCGGCCACCCAACCACGTGGCAAGCCCGCCTGCAGAAACCTCCACCAAGGCGCCACCTTCCAAAGCAGATGACCCCACAGGACAGGCAGAGGTGAAGAAGAATAAGAGAGAGCGGAAGGAAGAGAGGCAGAAGAACAGGAAGAAAGAGAAGAAGGAACTAAGGTTAGAAAACCACCAAGAGAACTCAAAGAGTCAGAAGCCCACAAAGCGCAAAACAGGCCCGGAGGCTGGAGGGGAGGACGCCCCCGAGGCCACCAGCTCCCGCGCCGCGGGGACGAAGAGCCGGGGGAAGAGCAAGAAGGGCGCGCTGGCGGAGGCTGGCGACGCGGCCCGCGGGGGACACGCCGCCGGGGCAGGGACCGAGGCCGGGCCAGGAAAGCGGAAGCGGACGCTGTCGGAAGGTTCGTTACAAAACGATTGATACTGTGAATCTGGGCTTGATAAAATCTGTGAGACCTTGCGTGTGGAGCCAGGTGAGGCAGGAAGCTCCCGCGCCTCATCTCACCTGGAGGAGAAACCCCAGGCTGCTGGGTTGCATGGGGGCTGAGCCAGGATGGGTGCCGGCCGGCAGTGGGAGGCTCAAGGGGCGGCTGCTGGCATACATGCAAAACCTGTGGGGTTTGTTAACTCTTTCTAAATATTTAGTTGAAGCAGATTCTAAGAAGAAAAAGATCAAGTTCTCAGGACAACCTGAGGGTGGAGAACCAGAAAATGAAGAAGCAGCTCCTGCCAGAGGTATGACTGCCGCCGTCTGGCAAGCTGTGCCCTCTAGGTTGGGGGAGGGGGAGGCGAACGGGGGCAAAGGAAGTTCTCTAGGCTGTGACTGCTAAGGGATGAACGAGAACTGCGTGGGTTACTCTTACAGTGTCTGTCTAGCTTTAAGTATAGAAGGGAAAGCAGCCTAAGCTAGAAACATGTATTATCTTTGGCATTTAAAATAAACGCAGCACTGCTTTTTGAGGCCGTTCCTTCCCTCCCTCCAGCCAGACTCGGCTGTTCTCCCCTCTTACGTCGGCGCCTGTCCCTGGTGTCTCCTTGCCTGGACCTCCATGGCCAGCCGTCTCCCTCAGCTGGAAAGGGTGCGTGTCAGGATCCAGTGTCAGGCCTTCAAGGCTCCTCAGATGCTGCCTCCTCCCCGGCCTGAAGCGTCCCCGGGGGCCCTGCCAGGCAAGAACAGAGCCAAGGACTCAAATGGGAGTCGAGTCTCTATTAATGGAGGTTCAGTAACTGCCCGAGTTGGGTTAGACCTCTTAACTTTGAACCCACCCCTTAACTTTATATATATGAGGCTTTTTTAATGAAATGTTTTGTTTAGAGATCCTTGTAGGTTCCCCTGAGGTTGTGGAATGAGTGTTTTAGCCCGCTGTGCAGTCACTGTTTGTGGCTGTGCTCGGTCAAGGTTAAGGTCCTTCTGCTCACCTTGTCTTGCTCACTGTGCCTGGACAGCCCTGTGCCCTCAGTGGATCTTTGATCTTGTTGAGTTCATTAGCTGCAGCTGTCTTTCTACAGGAACTTGTAGTGGTGACGGATGGTGCTTATGCGACTTAGTGACCTGCTCGTTCTGAGAACAAGCACCGTGGAGGGCAGTCAGTGCTCCCGGTCCCTGTGATGGGGCAGGTCGGGGGCCGGTGCACCATGTTACATCAGCCTGCTCACTCAGGACAGGTCTCTTTCTGGCCAGCGAATAGATGTTGCAGAAATCATTTCTTTACCTTTCTGGTAGGTACAACAAAACAGGATGTTTTACATATTTTTCTTCATATTGTAGGTAAATTCAACTGGAAGGGAACTATTAGAGCAATTCTGAAACAGGCCCCAGACAACGAAATAGCGGTCAAAAAGCTAAGGAAAAAGGTATGGCCTATGAACCTACGTGTATGAGCTGGGGGGGGGGAATCGGCTCTTTATTTTAAAATGTATACTTCTGTTTTTATAAATGTGTGTGTGTGTGTCTCAGTGACTTCCCAGTGTCTCCAGTAGCCCCTCTGGGCTCGTGGAGAGTAATGGGGCCTGTTCCTACCACACTCCCTTAGCCGGAGCGGTGCCTGTGTTACATGTGAAGATTATTGTTCTACTGTAGATACCTTGCTATCTTCTGATTATTCCCGAGCAGTGGTTTCTTCTGCTTCTTAACTCTTTATCGATGTATTGACACACAGGCAGCAAAGTGCTTGCACGTGTGCGGCTACATGGATTTTTCCCAGAGAACACACCTGTGTAACCAGCACCTGGGTTTCTGTTCGTTTTCACTGTTGCCCTGCTTCTAGATTAAAGAAGGGACGTTTTGGAGATATTTTCAGGACAAATACCCCCATTTGACAGTTGTTGTTGTTTTTTTTGAAGGTTTTGGCTCAGTATTATGCTGTGACAGATGAACACCACAAGTCGGAAGAGGACCTCCTGGTCATCTTTAACAAGAAAATCAGCAAGAACCCCACCTTTAAGTTACTAAAGGACAAAGTCAAGCTTTTGAAATGAACATTTTTATATTTATAAACTGAATCCATTCTGTTGATTTCTTTTCATTGCTGTTTGTAAAACATGTGATGCAACTCAAATTTTGCTTTCCAAAGCTGTATTTTTAAGTTAAGGAAAAAATATATTTTTGGTAGAACTTTTATGCAAAAATAAAATATATTGTCCAAAATTCTAAATCCATGATGGTGAATATAATTTACGTACTTTAAAAAATACTTCTATGTGGAAAATATGTTTAAATGTGACAAGTCAAAATATAACTCCTCCTTTGGTAAGACTAAAAGTATTTAATTATTGTACATCATTTTATTCATTTTCAATGAGAGGTGTTGTTAAAATGTGTGAGTTGCAGTAGTTCCTTCAGGAACGGTGGTGACACCAATCTTGTGTGTGTGACAGTCCTTAACCTAGCCGGAAGTTCCACTCTTTAAAGGAGGTTTTGCTAACGGTTTGGCCCGTTCACACTGTGGCCCAGTCTGTCTTCAGCCAAAGACAGACCTGTCGGTGACTAGATTTTGGGCCAGGCCCAGGGAACAGCTCGTCTGAGACCGAGTCCATTATTGAGCTGTATCGCTGCTCCAGCGCTCGGATTGGATGGAAATGCTTTCAGAACTGCTGTCCAGGGCTGGAGGAGAGCCATGTGCTGCCGCTGTTGGGTATTTGAATAGCTTCTGTCCACAAGTCCCTTAAAAGTTGAATCGCCCTTTTGACAGTGTTAACTGTTACTGTCAGTACCTCATACTATAGGTGAAAAGCAAGGATGGGGGGGGGGGTTGGGTAAGAGGAGGGGCAAAAGGGCCGACAGGTGCTGTCTGAGCCTCGGCTCCCGGATGAGCCTGGAGGACCCCGCTTCTCCCCTGGCCTTGCCGGCTGTGCCGAGGGATGTGCCTCCGTGTGGTGGTGGCACCGTCAGGTGACGGAGGACCTAGGCTTTAGACAGGCTTGGAGTCAGGCCCCGGCTTGGTCCCTTCACAGGTAACCTCTCTGAATCTCACTTGTTTCATCTGGGCAATGGGACAATAAAGGCCCCTTGGGTTGTCGTGAATGAACTAATTTTTTTTTTTTAAAGATTTTATTGGGGAATTGGGGGAGGAGAACAGACAAGTTGCTGTCCTTTTGTTCTTCAGTCTAGTTGTGGAGGACGTTGCTTCACTGGCCCATGTTGGTATGATCATTGCGCTCTTCCCGGGTGAGGCGGTCGCTCGCCGGCCATTGGACGGCCGCTCACAGCAGCTCTTGCTGGCTGCTGGACACTCACGGTAGCTCACAGCAGCCCACTGCATCCTATGCCGTCACCAGCCACTCACGGCAGCCCAGCTCCAGGTCGAACTGTTGTTCACCATCTTAGCTGTAGAGGGCGCAGTGTCACTGGCCCATGTGGGAACCGAACCAGCGGCCCTGCTGCTCAGAGCTCCCACTCCCAAGCCAACTGAACCAACTGAGCCACTCAGCTGGCCTGTGCATGAACTAATTTGTGTGAAGTACCCAGCACCGTACCCCAAACCCAGCAGATACTTGGTGGTCGCTGTCACTACTGTTACTGTTTTCAGGGACAGCGTTAGAGCCCTGAGAACCTTCAGACGTCTGGAAGGAAAGGGAAAGGGAGGCTTGACCCAGACGACACATTTAATCAGGGACAAAGGCAGAGCCCGGCCACGACTTCGGAGCCCACTCCAGGGCGTCGTCCTGCTGCAGCTCCCTAGGGAGCAGAAGCATGCTCCCTGTCCTGGTGCAGCAGGGTGCAGAGCTCCCCAAGTCACGCTGATCACAAGCACCACAGTATGTCAGGAGCTGGGTTGACTTTCCTGTCTTACTGTGTTGCATTTAAGGCAAAGTCTGGCAAATTTGACAAAGTTAAAACATAAATTAGTAGGGTCCTCACTTCTGTCATCCTATCAGCCTTTACCCAAGGTTCCCGAGTTAGAAGCCGCCGCAGCAGAGGGCAGAAACGGCTGGCTGCTCAGGAATGTTAGCCGAGCGTCTGCGTTGGGGCTGGAGGAGACGGCCCCTCGGTCCTGTTGAGCCCCATGAATGAGGCAGCAGGACCAGCAGTGGCCATGCTGATGGTCAGTCAGGGAAGGGCCTCTTCATTGGAAACTGCAGTTGGAGGCGGGGCGAGCTCCCAGGCCTGCAGTTACCCCGTGGGTCTGACGGTCAAGCACGATGCACGGGCATTCCGGGGGTCCTTGCACAGAGAATGCCCTGTGTGTGGGCAGCAGCCTGCCTGACTCGGACTCGAACGCATGATGTTAGAGCTCCAGGGACCTCAGACACCAATCTAATGACATTCATGTCAGGGTTTACAGCTTCATCTTGTCTTGAGTGTAAGATTGAATTCTGTGTTCTGCCTGTCCCCACGCTGGTCTGATGGGTCTGGCACTTGAGTATCCCCAAACCTGTCAGCGACACATTCTGACACAAGGTGTTCTAACCTGATACCTTCCTCTCTGGCACTCCTGGCACTTGTGCACTGTGCACTGGCCATTTTCCGTGATGCTGCTTACAAGCAGGACTGGGAGAAGATAGGCTGTGTCTTGCCCTCCCAAAGATTAAGGTGCGTGACTGTTGCAGGCTGGGGCCCTCCTGAATGTAAGGCACACGAGGGATTTGGCAGCACGATGAGGAAACCGAGGCTCAGAAGACAGGGAGAGGCCTCATGCATGAGCCCAGGGCCACCTTCCCTCTGACGGGCTGCAAAAGCCAGACGCAGGCTGATGCGGGAGTCCAAGGGTGCAGCTGCTGATGGCAGAGGGGCTTTTATGTGGAGGAGGTTTAAAACCTGCAAAGCCACTCGTTTCCCGGGGTAACCGGTTCAGGCAGGTACAGTGGCTTGCTGCCGGGTGAAGTGAGCTGACCTCTGTGAGGAAAGGGAGGCTTCCAGGGACCCTGTGCCTAGTTCTCTCAGCCAACCCACCTCACAGCAGGGGTTATGAGGAAAAGCTAGTAATAAAAAAGTCAAGATTAATAGCATTTTGCAGATTTTTATGACTGTCTTTGAAAAGCTCTCATATTATCCTTCTAAATATACCGTTTTTCTCTGAAAGTGAAAACTTGAGCTGACCAGGTCCTATGAAAACAATTTACTTTGATAACTGCACTAACCGGTAATTACCCCTCTTTTCCAAAATAGATTTCTAGGCATTAGGGGGATGGCAGCGGCACGGTCGTGGGTATAGACTGCTGTCTTAGGTCGCACTTTCCAACTGAGTGAGGAAGGTTTAAGAAATCAATGGTTTCATGCAATTCATCACCATTAGTGAAAGCTATTGACAGTATATCTTAGCTCTTTATTCCACCACTGAAAACGATCCTCCTATGTGCTTTGTGGGGTTTTTTTGTGTGTTTTTTGTTGTTGTTTTTGGTTTCAATGACGAACCTGGACTCCATCATAATGTAGATAATTGTATATTATTGACTTTCACCTGGATACGGAACCGTGACACCACAGCGATTTTAAGACTGCAACTCCTTTTCTCGTGGAAGGAAATTAGAGATCGACTAGTATACTCAAATAAGAGAAATGGCATATTCTATATATTTACCAGCACTTTGTGGTTACTGGATCTCAGCATATATTCAGCCTTTTATCCCTTCTTCCAATGAAGCTTTTCGGGAAGTAGCTACCATCGGCTTTCTCAGTTTCTCTTCTACTTAGCGAAGGAAAGAATGTATTATAGTTCTCACTTACTAGGTACACAATGTCACTTTGTATTGATTCCTAAATTACACATGGGCAGGAGGATGGTTGTGTAGTTAATCCTTGTTCTCGTTCCAGTAAGCTGGGTTTTGGCAGGAATTTGGTGCACGTGAGGAAGCTCTCCCCTTTCAGGAGAAGAATCACTGATCATAAGCACGTGGTTTGATGTCACATGTAAAGGGATTATGTTGGCACGTCGTCTGGCATGCATTGATTTTTGCTTTTATCACAAACATGTTTGGACCTGAATCCTCCAGTACCCTCAGTGCCTGCAATTCCACCCTCTTTCCTTGAAATCATTCTACCCCACAAGGACTAAGGAGATCATTCCAGAGCGCCCACCCCGGGCCAGGCCCTGCACTGTCGTCAGGGACTGGGAGACACACCGCCCAAGGCAAGCAGAGCAGCTCATCACAGGGCTGTGTGGTTGTCGTGTGCACCCAGGGAAGGGGCGAGCCATTCTACCTGGGGTGGGCGTGGAGGGCCCTAGCTTACAGGCCCCCGGATTGGTTCTTGAAAGGTGTTTCTTACTTGCTGTGTTGGGTCGTCTTTCTCTTCCTCCTGCCACTCCATCTCTTTCACCCACAGATTTCCACCCCTACCCATGTGGGGGGCAGTGGGAGGTGATGTGCTCTAAGCCGCTCCATGAGCCGCAATGAGACTTGCTACTGAGCCTGACTTTGTATCTCCTTAGCCAGGACCCTCCTGGGTAGGTTATATAGCCTCCCTGAACCTCAGGGTTTCTTTCTGTCTGCTGTACTGACATCCTAAGGCAGACAGAGTGAAAGGAAAATATTGTATAGGAGGTGTCGTATAATATAGGAGGCACATAGCAGGTGTCGTATAATATTTCCTCTCCACGTGCCTGAAATATGCACACACTGCAGTGTTTACCACTGATTGAGGCCCCTCCACTAGACACCTTTCTTTTTCCGGCATGCAGCTCTCCACGTGACTGGCCTGCAGCCAGAACCCACAGTGACCAAATCGGGCAGCATGGGAGCATGTTTAATGAAGAAATGCACTTCAGTTCTGAAGTGACACTCCAGTTTACAATTAACGTGTAACCATTTTTCAGGACACAGATAATCATAAAAGTGCCACCTAAATGAGTTCACTTTTTACTGTAAACCTTCTCTTGAAGTAAACATACAAAGATGTATAAAAACCTAAGTGGATAGCTGAATGAATGTCAGAAAGTGCACACACCTGTGCCAAATCAAAGACGTAGTCTATTTAGCCCAAGGGCAACCATACCCTTACTTCTGTCAGCATGGGTTGGATTAGCCTGGTTCTGAGTTTTATGTAAATGGAATCACAAGGCATGTACCCTTTCGTGTCTGGCGTCTTTCACTCAATATTCTTTGAGGCTCATCCACATTGCTTTGTAGCAGGAGGTGATGCTCTTTATTGCTGTATAGTATGTATCCATTCTGCTGTCGAAGAGATGCTCGGCGATTTCCAGGGTGGCTGGATTTCTGATAAAATTGAAGTCTTCTGTGCGTCTCCTGTATGTACAGTTTCTAATTTCTGCTGAGCAAATGCCTAGGAGTGGAACTGC